TGGGTCTGGAAGCCAAAAAAGAGGAGAACCTGGCTGACTGGTACTCTCAGGTGAGTATCACCCTTTACTCCAACAGCACAATTTGCTATGTCAATCAAAATCTTCTGTTAATATTCTTCTCTTGTCCTCCTCAGGTCATCACTAAAGCTGAGATGATTGAGTACTATGACGTCAGCGGTTGCTATGTGCTGCGACCCTGGGCTTTCTCAATCTGGGAGTCTATTAAAGACTTCTTTGACAAGGAAATTAAGAAACTGGGTGTGGAGAACTGCTACTTCCCTATGTTTGTCTCTCAGGCAGCCTTGGAGAAGGAGAAGTCCCACATTGCAGACTTTGCTCCAGAGGTAAATCAGACTTTGCACGGACATCTTCTGATGTTTACAAAAAGCAAACTGGGTAACATAAATGAAAGAAATAGGCAACTACAAGAAATCATAATGATATGCTCGCGCATGCATTTATGGATCAAGCACAGTCTTGATCCATAAATGGGACTCTGTCATTATTTTTATGGTCTTCCGTCATTTATATCCTAGTGATGTCAGACGGAGGTTAATTGAAAGGTTCAAGTCCTAACATTTAAGGTGGCTGTCGTAAAAATTCTCTCAGCAGGTCAAAACAGTCAGTCCTAGCTGGCCAAACAGACGAGTGCTCTTTACAGAAAGAGCGTGTATGAGATAATCATACAAAGATGAAACTAGTAGTAAAAATATAGAACTGTAAATGTGCAATATCCTGTTATTACAGTTTTGGTTTCCCTTTTTTTAAGGTTGCTTGGGTAACTCGGTCAGGAAAGACTGAGCTTGCAGAGCCCATCGCTGTCAGACCCACCAGTGAAACAGGTCTGAACCACAGCTCTTTGGCTAACATAAAGCTATGCAGACTCACATTCAGCATATCCATTTTAAAACATTTAACATTGTTTCTAACCCCGTTTATCTCTCTTTATTCACCTCAGTGATGTATCCAGCCTATGCAAAGTGGGTCCAGTCTCACAGAGACCTGCCAATCAAACTCAACCAGTGGTGTAACGTTGTGGTCAGTGTTCCCTTCTTTTCTTTAGTTAATGGTTGCAAGATTGCTCATGGAAGAGCACCCAGTTTAGTGTGCATCTCTTCTCCATTGTGTAGGGATGGGAGTTCAAACATCCCCAGCCTTTCCTGAGGACAAGAGAGTTCCTGTGGCAAGAGGGACACACAGCATTTGCCACAAAGGAGGAGGCAGCTGAGGAGGTAATATACATGACAGAATGTTAAACAGTCGTACCTAGGCAGACATATTCGAGTACAGTGTTTCTGGACGGCTGTTTATGCGTCATCTGTATGCAGGTTCTGCAAATCCTGGATCTATATGCCAGGGTGTATGAGGAGCTAATGGCCATCCCTGTGGTAAAAGGGAGGAAGACTGAGAAGGAGAAATTTGCAGGAGGAGATTACACAACAACCGTGGAGGCATTCATCTCTGCCAGCGGCCGAGCCATTCAGGTAACACACTGGCTTTATTCTCTCAATCCTCTTACTCAAGTTAGCAAGTAAACATTGCATTGAAGCAAGAGTCCCCTTTTCCTCAGGGTGCTACATCCCACCATCTGGGCCAGAACTTCTCCAAGATGTTTGAGATTGTGTTTGAGGACCCCAAGAGGCCGGGCGAGAAGCAGCTGGCTTTCCAGAACTCGTGGGGAATCACAACCAGGACCATCGGTGTTCTCACCATGGTCCACGGAGATGACATGGGACTCGTGCTGCCACCCAGAGTGGCTTGCCTCCAGGTGAACACTCAGTCACATGTACACATGGGATTTTATTTTCGTAACAGATGAAGATGTTAAGGTCCTTTTTTTATTCTATTATATTGATGTAAACGATGCTGCAACAGCCAACCTAAGATTTCTCTTTCCTTTCCCAGGTTGTCATCATTCCTTGTGGGATCACCGCAACCTTGCCAGAACAGGAGAAGGAGGTGCTGTTGGCTCAGTGCACCAAATACCTGAAAAGGCTGCAGGAGGCTGGTATCAGGGTGAAGTCTGACCTCCGAGACAATTACTCACCTGGCTGGAAGTTCAATCACTGGGAACTCAAGGTCATTAACAACACGATCATAATCCTTATTATAGTTTTAACCTGATGCAGAGAATATTAATTGGAAAAAAACAGATGTCAGTTTGGTTTCTGACTCCTTGTTCTGTATGCTGGGGTCTCTCATCCAGGGAGTGCCTATCCGACTGGAAGTGGGCCCTAAAGACATGCAGCAGAAGCAGTGTGTCGCAGTGAGGAGAGACTCAGGAGCAAAGGTGACAATAGCAGAGGCTGAAGTGGAGAAGAATCTGCTCAACATGCTGGAGGACATCCAGAACAGCCTGTTCAAAAAGTATGTTATACTTACTACACTGAGGTTTTGTTACAAATGGACACATCCCCAGTCGAGGACAGTTCTACCACAGGGCTTTTTGTTAGAGGAGTTAATAATTGATACAAGTGTCACAATTGATACATAAGTGTACACAGATTCTGTGAGATTACATGGTGTTTGTAAACACTTGGTTAATGTCTATTTGTCAGAGCTTCAGATGATCTGAAGAGTCACATGGTGGCTGCAGACACAATGGAGCAGTTCCAGAAAGAGTTGGACCAGGGCAAGGTGAGTAACACAAACAAGCCACAACAGCTCAGACATCTCACCGTCTTTCCTCATCAGAGCAAATAATTGATCTCATATATTTTCCTTTGCTTGATAGATTGTCCAGATCCCATTCTGTGGAGGAATTGAATGTGAGGACTGGATCAAGAAAACCACTGCTAAGTAAGTCTGACATATTGGTATTGTATACATGTGATTCCCCCACAGTTTGCTTGTTGTGCTCAGAGTGCTTAATTTCCACCACTGAAGGACTATTTGCTTGATCTTTTTTAGGGACCAGGACCTGGAGCCTGGTGCTCCGTCCATGGGAGCCAAGAGTCTCTGTATCCCATTCACTCCTCTGAAGACCCTCCAGCCTGGACAGAAGTGTGTCAGCGGCAAGGAGCCGGCCCAGTACTACACTCTGTTTGGACGTAGTTACTGAGCACCTGCTCTTCTGGGGCAAGAGAATAAGCATCTTAGTAGAAAAGGGCTTTCCCACCTTCTCTGTAACTGTTTTTCCTTCTTGGTGTTTAACTTAAGTGAGGTGACTAAACTTTGGGATTCAGAAAGGGAACATGCTCTCTTTTTTTTGTTTTGGGTTTTTAAAAAAAATAAACAAAACATGTCATCATTGTTACAACACTTTGGAAATGGAGCAGAGACAAGAGATGTTTACTCTTATAACCGTTAATATCTAAATTGTTGATTATCCTCTAAAGGCCCTGTCAGAAAGAGACTCACTGTCCAGAGGGGGAAATGGCCAGGAGTTAGGCAGGTGTGTCAGCATCAAACATCTGATGAGTGAAAGCAGCAATTGTACTTTATCTGGACTTTAAAACCACTTTCTTGAGTATTTTTCAAACTCCGTACCTAAAATGCAAGATTTTCTGTACTTGAAAATTGATGAATTAAGGATGTTTGGCCTTTTTGTAAAACTCTCAAAGGAGAATGTTACTGATGGGGAGGGGAAATCCTGAGAATTACAATCTGTGGGAAAATGTCTCTTTGCCTGGCAACAGCCCCATCTCCCTCACAGCCAGACTATCTCAGGAACTCTGCAAGCACTCTGTCAGCCCTGCTCTGTCTGTATGGTTACAGTATGTGGCTTTATATTTAACGGAAATCTCTTATCCACCAGAGCCAAATGGTGCAGCTGTGATGAACCGTGTGTATGGTCGATATCGCCTCCTGTCTCTTCTCTCACATGAAAGATCTCTGCTGCCTGTCTAAAATAAAGTAATTTCCATGGCAAACTATCCAGTGTATGTGTGTGGTTTTGTTTTGTTATTGTTTTTTTAAGCCTGGGTAAATAGAGGGAGATAATCAAGTCCAAGATTATCTTTTTCTATTTTTGGAAAGCTGCATGGGAAAATAATAGTAACTAAAAAAACAGATACATTACATCGGTGCCAGTTTTATGCATATCAAGGCTTGCAATCTAAATGTGCTGGAGAAGTACTTCAACAAACATGCCATCAATAAACCACAATCAAACAGAACTGAGTAAACTTGTATAGTAATATTTACATTGGGTTTTAAATTATTGTGCGTGAGCTGTTTACTGAGCATAAGGAAGTATGTAAGGTAATTACAATATTCACATGATAAACCTTGTCTGTTACGTAATGAGGAACTTCAGTCAAGATTAAAAGATAACACTAATTGTCTGTTTTCAGAATAAAAGTGTGTTATATGTTCACTTACAGTTATTCGAGTAATTATACTTCATACTGTGAGCTTGCTTTTCTTGCACATTCTGTGTTATTTAATAATTAAGAGATCCTTTAAGTTTGCAGAGATATTTTTCCTGCAAAAAAGCAGAGAGAATAAATCACTGAAGCAAAACAAAAGTGAAAATGGTCGCCACTCTTGTCTTTGTGTAATTTTGTCTTTTCCTTAGTTTCTAGCATATACACCATTAAAGTGGTGGATGATGATGTGAAATGTCTCTAATGTTTAAAATCATAAAAACATCTTTATGAACAAAAACACCAGCCTGAAAATCCCACTCACGGTGTTAGGTATGATTTGGGTAAATATTCTGTTTTTATTCGGGACCACATTAAAAAAATTCCTGGAAACACTCCTGGTGGTGGGTTTGAGTCAGTCAGTCAAATATCTACAAATATCTTTAATATGGACATCTTAGAAACACACTTCTGGTCCCACCCATTTTCTATTCACATCTTCTTTTTGTCAGTGGAAGCCAGTCGGAAGAACCACTAAGAAGCACCGAGTCCCGGTTAAAGATGAGTAAAGTTTATTTTGAGCTGTGAATCCTGCAAAGCTTTAAGAAAAAGACTGTGGAGCAGGAAACGAGCGATCCTCTCTGCATTATCATCTCGGTTACTGTGCCTTTTATGTTGAAATCTTGTGCCGGAAGTATATTTTCCTGGAACTCCCTCTGCTTAGTCCCTTTCCCTGTCAGTCAGTCTCTGCCGAACTGCACTCTAGCTTCTTGTAGCAAAAATGAGCGATAAAGGTTTGTCAGACGAGGCTGTGGCAGCAGTGTGTAAAGATGGAGACCCGATCACTAAGGTAAGACCATTGTAGCCCCTC